CAAAATGAAAGTAGAGTAGGGCTTTATAAGTTGTTCCTTGCAAGGGCTTCGAAAAATCAATAAGCAATTAAAACTTCTTCAGATATTGCGACATGAAGGTCCTACACGGAATGACAAGTTGGTCATCATGTACAAGGAGGCCAAAGGATCCGAGAAAGACCCGAAAAAGTCGTTTGAAAACGAGGGAGTCACGGCAAAAAAGGTGTTGCCTTTAATAACGGTACGTTGCATCTTTCCCATCTTTCACGATTCCGTCTTCCGATTTCCGATGCTTCCATCCGGAAATTATTTTCCACTGAGCCATAGCAAAAGCTTCGTAAGTATTCACTTGGCCTATTTCGTTCACTTTCAGCGAGAGGTCGAAGAAAGTTAGCCACAAACGAGGCGAGAAGGATGAAATTTGTCGACGGGCTGTATATAAAATCGATTCTAAGGAGTCATTAGACTTTATTACTGTATTAATGCGAGTTATGTGTTATTGGAAAAATTATTGATTGATTCTTGGCATTCGATTATTTTGATTTCATGATCTGTACAGCATTGATTTAGTAGGTATGCATGCGTTGAATAAATCCCATTTTCAATATGTTTACTTCCACTTTACCTTATTGTCACCTTGATTTTTCTTACGATTTTTTTACGTTCCCATAAGTTTCCAGCCATGCGCTCCAGGAAAGGTAAATAAAAGTCGGTGGTTGCGCGGGGGATAAAAGGGGGGGGGGGAGTACATTGTGTCGGCGGCAGTTATTCCCGTTCGTTTTATCGTTAAGCAGATATCATTTTGGAGGAGAGCCTGTAAAGCTTCGTTGCGAACTGGCAAAATTGGTGGAGTGAGCCACTCTGGTTACAGGGTACAGGTTCCCGCAAGCTTAGCTGACTACCTTACCTTTCAAAGACCCCACCAAGGCGAACTGCGTCTGTAAGTCACTCGTCATTGGCCATTGGTAGTGTTTGTCTCTGGATAAATATATGGACACACATAGTTCGTTAAAGGCGCTTTCCGCAACAGTCGGCTGGGTGGAGACTCATAGCCATCGCGTCTTTTTCATAGGTGCCCTACTCCTCGTGACACGGTAAGAAAAGAGGGCGAACCAGTGATCAGAAACAAGAAAGCAGTGGTTATGAGTCCCGCTCATTTACCTGTCTATCCGACCATGGCGGATGGTGCCTTTGAGTCCAAATATGAACCACAGAAACAGAAACGTGTCCTCAGAAAACATTTAACATAGGTAAAGGGCTAATGGATGTTAGACCTCACGTCCACATTGTGGTGAGAACGACAAAAGGAGGTGTTGCAAATAAATTTATATGCGCGGCATAGACGTCAGGATCTAATTGATTTAAGATGGAAGGGCAGTATTGCGTCGAGTCAACGGCGTTGTTCGGCTCTAAGGGAGAGGTGGGGAGTGGAGAAATGCCGCTAGTTTCTTTCGTTAGTTCCTGGTGAATTCTATTTATGAATGGGTTCTACGAAGCTTGGTTCATGTGAGCCACGTTTTTCCTGATGTTGCCTGCACAAGCTTAGCCAAATAATTAGTGTCAGGCTGAACTGCGCTAAATCGGCCGTCTAGGAGAAAATCCGTTAGTTCCCCTGAGTTACCGCGAGGTGGATACACCTGCACCAGCACTGAGGTAGCTGGAAAGTAAGTGGAAAAGGCTAGAAAATGCTCAACCCCACCTGTGTGCGTCCGAGAGGGTGCAGAAGAGGCGTGACGACGCGCGCAATCGTGAAGTCTGAACGCAGACTTGCTAACTGGCAGCAGTGCGGACTTCACCTACGAATCGACAGTTGAGCTTCGGGAAAGTCGTCTAATGGGGTAGAGGGGTCTAGGAGACACCTTGGGTAGAATCTACTACCAAGGCGTCGAACCTCTTTCTTGCACGAAGAATGGTTCACCTATACTGGAGCTCGTTCGTTCCTAGGCTTGGGCAGAATTTTTCATTTCCATAGCGGCAAACACAGTGTTGCACGAAGGGTCTTTGGATGCTCCTAAACTGCGCCCAAAGCTTTTCTTTATTCCACTTTTCCTGACTCAATAGCCTTCTATATATTAATTTTATTACCAATTCTATATTAATTTTATTACCAATTCATCTATTCATCTCCAATCCAGGATTATGAGGGCAATTGAATGCGTAATGAGCTACTGTGATAGCTGGAGATTTGGCTGAGCCATCTATTCTCGGAAGGAGCCTCGCGGGGCTTTAAGCTATCTCAAAAACTGAAAAGCTCGATTGACCTTGCCGGGAACTGTGTATGTAGGCCAAGCAAGCAGAAGATGGCGTGGTTAGCTGCCGAAACGGCTCACTCTACAGCATTTATCCGTGCACTTGGGAGAGCACGTGGAGGGCGTGGACTGCGGATGTGCGACAAGTCAAACGTAATATGCCGCGGTGGGCGTGGCGAGCGACGCCGCGCACGCTAGAGCCGAGTTGCGCTGTTAAGTCGTTCGAGTTTGAATTTAAAAGGAGGACAGATCGATACCACTCAGATTAGATCTCGCCTCCGCTAAAAGGGTATGTGGCAAGAGAATCGTAATTCGCCGCGCCAGTGGGCGTCGCGTGCGACGTCGCGCCTGCTAATGACGACGATTTTAGGTGGTATTGGTCCAATAGACAATGTATGATCAAAAATAGACATAAGTGTCTACCATGTCCTTGTCTACATGAAATCCGATGCTCCAATCGAAAGGGTAGTGCAAATTAAGGAAACGTCGCGCCCATTGCCGCGCGCGACGAAGCGGCAATTACGATTCTCTTGCCCGTCTCCCCGCTAGAGATTGCGTGAGTTCCATTCAAAACCGATGCGCATCGAGAATTTGCCGCGTACCGCCGCACAATGCGCCGCGCTAACCGTTTGGCACCCTACAATTGTCTCTATTTATTTCCCGTGAGTTGGAGCGCAGGGCGACGCTTTAGAGTTGTCACGAGCTCAGGCATCAATGGCAAAGGCCGCACTAGCAGCACTCCAATATGCGCGCACTCATACGCCCTCTCATTTGCAGTGGTAATGAGTGCACACTTGCCCGCTTCAACAACTGGTGTAGAACGAGTTTGGCACCGCGCCAAACGCAGCCGCACTGACACGCCCAACCGTCCGCAGCGAACTACAGTATACCTCACGCCGACCATTTCTTGATTGCTGGGGACGTTCACTGTTCGCTCTTCTTAGATACAGTATCTCAGATACCACCACATTGCTGCTGCAGTACGACCACCCGAGCCAGTCCTAACAAAGCGATTTCCCACTTAGAGGGTCACAACGATGTAGGGCTCTCTTGATGTCAGAATCCAACAAACCCGTTCTCTGCCTCACCTCCGTTCCCTTTTCAAAGGAATTCGCTTATCAGGGCCGGGGTATGGGATAGCAACATACTCTAGAGATGGTAAAATGGAAACATTGCACCTCCCTTCCCTCTCTCCCTCCTCCTCCCCCCCCCCTTCGCAGTAATGCAAGTTCTCTCAAAGGAAAGTGACGCCCCGATTCCCGGCGTTCTAATTGCTACTCTCGTTGTTATCTTCTCGTATCATAAGCTATGACCACACCTTATGTAGTTTCCGTATCTGAATGCTGAGGGGGGGGGTCGTTTCTACGGAAGTCATCACAATCCTAGGGATATCTGCGAGAGTTCATTCGAAAAGGCATGCAGTAATATCGCCAGCATGGGCTACAGGGCGCGACGCACGAAAAAGTGTCGATGATACTAGTGCTAAACCTGCATCCGGACTCTGCTTGATTAGCAACATTATCCGTAAGAACGCCCCTTTTTGCGCGCAGATACGTACTCCTGCCTGCCGCCCGTTCAAAGTACGCGACAACAACACAACTTAAACTTCATTGTCAGTTACCGATTAGTGGTAGCGTACGTAGCTTATTTATATGATATATTGTACACTTAATAAATGCCATTTAGTCGTCAGTAACCACATTAACCGTAGATTTCATCAGGAGCACCGCCTTTGTTTTTGAGCATCACATTCTTCACTGCTTTCTCGAAATCATCAGCACACACCACTTTACGTTGAGCACGTAATGCCAACATACCGGCTTCGGTGCAAACCGCCTAAAATCGGTCGTTTCAAGTACTGCTCAAAGGACCGACTGTAATCCGTGAGAAATAACCTTGATTTCAGCTCCAGACATCGTTTTTCCTCCTTCTCTCGACATCACCACGTCGTATGTCACATCTTTAGCCAGATTCATCCCAGATGTGTGTATCTGAAGTGCGATATGTAGCTTCAGATGGTAGCACCATGTAGAAGATAGGTATTGATCCCTGCCGCGACCATGACAAAGGTGAGGGCGGTTTTGAGGTTGTGTAGCATTCAGAGCATGGTCCCAGCAAAAGGTAGAGTATATGGCCCACCGTGGATCGGGGCTCAGTCAGGCCTGAGCGTTGATGGGAATCCTTTGGGATCTGCTTTGGCTGCGCTTTAAGCCCCCCACACACATGCCCTGTCGTTCGCAGGGATCACGACTGCACACGCTTTTTATAGCAAAGGAGTACCAGGTCTCATTCAAAGAAGGGGAAACTGCAGCCGCGTTCGTGGCGCATCCATCGCACTGATCGATATCTATCCTTTTGTATGTTTCCAGTGGGGCCCAGCGCAGCCGGACAGCCTACGTTCATTTGACAGCCTTATTACTGTCGGAATACTTGCATCTTCCGATGGCCAAGGGTACCAATGCTACTCGAGCAAAAATGCCCAGTTTTGCCGAACTGTCGCGCGAGCGTAAAATCAATATCCATGCTTGGTTTGATTCAGTTCAGCTGAAACGACCTGGAAGATTTTCTGCCGCGTTTTCTCATCTGGTTTTGGCAGTTCGATTTTCCGATCTATACGTCCTGGTCGAAGGAGAGCAGAGTCTAGTGAATCAATACGATTCGTCGCCAGAA